CTGTCTCTAAAATCTAAATCTAGAATTGGGTAAGGAGAATCAAAACTATTCTTCAATCTAAATTCTAAAAGCAACAATGCAATTGTCATATGAGACTAAAGCAACAGGAGCACAAAGGAGGTCCCAGTTAAAAAAATGTGGCAATGACTCAATGCATCAAAAGATAAATACCTCACTATGAACAAGAAATGGATCACAAGATGATATCAAGGAAGCACAAATATTATAATTTTGAGTCACGAAACTAACCAGCAGAGAATCAAAACAAAGGGTTTTAATTGAGAGTTTATATATATAACGGGTAATAGGGACGGGACAGGGGTAAGGGAAAGTCTATCCCCACACGGGTTTATACGGGTATTTCCGTATACGTCCACCGTTCAATACGTATAGTCCATTCCCGATCCAAACAGGACGGGTTTGGACGAATACCCATTTTTCTCCAGTCCATTACCATCCCTAAATGTATGCACTTGTCTCATCTGATAGGCGTTGTAAATATAACCGTTAAAAAACTCAAATTTTAAAATTTTGAATTTCGTGACCGTTGTAAATATGACCGTTATTAATAAAAATTAAAATTTTAAAATTTTGATGACGTAGAGTAACACGTCAGCATGTGATGTCATCACGAGCTAGATATAAAATTAGCATCTCTGTCTTTATCTTTTTTTCTTACTCAAATTTAAATTTAAATATAAATAATTTAAATGGATATTTGGCTGTACATATTTTTCTTAGAATTTATTTATTTTTAAGTACTACTAGTTGACATACGCGTGAATAATTTTAAATTATAATTTTTTTAATATGATTTTCTATATCTATTTAATCAACCAAGTTTGTCGACATAGTTTTTGTACTATTTATTACTTAAGAATAGAAAAGAACAAGTCTATGACTTAATTATAATTGAGAAAGGAGAACATCATGACCTAGTTTCAGTCTTGTTGCATAAACAAATGGGTTAACTTCACTCACCGAGACTAGAGGTCAGCACCAGTTCAGGTAATCTACTAGATTGAGGGTTGGGACAACTAATGATATTTAAAATATACCTAAGGTTGAGCTTGGGTATTCAGCTCAAACCTTTCTAGCTTGGGCATTCAGCTCATCCTGGATGACCAGGAGAGTATGAGGTCAAACAATCCATCCGTGCAACTACACCTTCACAAGTATAGCACAAAAAACAGCTGACTTCCACTCAAGCGCCACCCGAATCGTAATGGGCATATATCCAGGCACAAGAGTCGTAACTACCTCAACACCTTCCACAGTTGTTGCATGATAATCGCAATTGTTACAAGAAAGAGGTAAGCATCATGTCAAAGATCAAGCGAGGTCCAAAATCGACTATAAATAAGAGGCATAACCCTCACAAGAAAAGATAAGCAATTGTAGCTTGAACAAACACTATGTAATCTCATTTCTTATCAATAAAATTACCATGAGCAAGAGACTCATTTGAGAGTAAATTAGCCGAGCTCCCGAGCTGGTGAACCACTATAGATTCTTTGTGTTACCTCCCTTTTTTCCCTTGTCCACATTTCAAGAGTCTAGGAGCTCAAACTGAGTTATTCAGTGACCCATCAATCTCTCATCTCTACTCTGTCATGCTAAACACATCATCACCCAAAATACACCTAAGGTTGAGCTCGGGGTATTCAGCTCAGACCTTTCTAGCTCAAGCATTCAGCTCATCCTGGATGACTAGGGAGCTTGAGGTCAGACCTTTCATCCCTACAACTGCGCTTCACAAGGATAACATAAAAGACAGTTGGCTTCCTCAAGCACCACCCAAATCGTAACGGGCATATATCTAGGCATAAGAGTCGTAACTGCTCTGACACCCTCCACAGTCGTTGCATGGTAGTCGCAACCATTACAAGAAAGATGCAAGGCTCATGACAGAGATCAGGCAAGGCCCAGGATAGACTATAAATTAGAATCGTAACTCTCACAAGAAAAGATAAGCAATTATAGCCTGAACAAACACTCTGCAATCTTATTTCTTATCAACATAAGTCCTAGGAGCAAGAGGCTCCTTTGAGAGTGGATTAGTCGAGCTCTCAAACTAGTGAACCACTATAGATTCTTTATGTTACCCCCCCTTTTTTCCCTTGTCCAAATCTCAAGAGCCTAAGAGCTCAAATTGAGTTATGGAGTGACCTATCAACCTCTCATCTCCGCTCTATCATGCTAAACACATCATTAGTTGGTGTTGTCTGTGAGAACGACTGTTCATATAAAAAATTTTACTGATCATCTTTAGTAATAATGGTTTCTAAGCATAAATATTAGTAGCAGTCAAATAAATCCCCTCCGATTGCAGAACCAATAAGAGGTTACTGCTGGAAGGCAGTAGAAAAATCTTCGTGACTTCCTGCCTAATCTAGAGATTGACCTACTCGTGGTGGATCCTCCCCCTAATAATGAGCTTGAGGCCTTTTTCCTAGCCAATCAACGTCTTCTCCAGCAGAATAAGGAATCACTGAACCTCATCCAACGTCCCCAAAGGGCACAACCAGCCTAGAATGATCCCCCACGTAGGGAACATCGACATCTCAACCCCCTAAGGGACAACACTGACAGGGATGAGCATAGCCAAACGATTGACAATTTGGCAATGTCCATTGTCGAGTTCAGAGGAATGAGGACGATGAGAAAGTACAGATCCATAATAAGGGAACTCATAAGAATGAGCTTCTTCCATTCCAGCAAGAAAGGAATGGGCAATTCTAGGAACATCGTTTCAAAGAGATTCAATAGTAGCTCAGCCATATAAAGGAGGCTGTGAGGGTGCAAAACCCCTGTGTCTATGGATGCCTTGGTCCAGTAGATAGAATCACTTTTTACCATAGAAGTGTTGCATTTCCCTTTTCCACCAAAGTTCCATATTTTGCAGATAGATGCCTTTGATGGGACAAAGGATCCCATGGACTATCTCAACATCTACAAGAACCAGATGGAGTTGCATGGTTATCAAGACCTAGTACGATGTCGAACTTTCACTATCACATTGAAAGGCTCAGCCTGAGCATGGTTTAATAAGCTGACTCCAACTTCCATTTCTTTATTCAGGGAGCTCTTAGTTTTATTCGTATTCTCGAACTTACCAAAAGTCGAGTTATCATTTACTGAATGTGAAACAAGGGCCAAACGAGACACTGTGAAGCTACATTCAGAGATTTGACTTAGAATCTCTGAAAGTATATGTTCCTGATGAGAAGTTTGCCCTCATCGCATTCATCGTCGGGCTAGGGTTGAGTACAAAGATCTAATATTCTCGATCTCCAAGAATCCGTAAGCCAATATAGCTGAGATCCTTGTCAAGGCGGAGAAATATATTAATGACGAGAAAGTTCTCCTCTCCAAGGATGGGAGCTTAATTACCCACAAGGAGAAAGAGAAGAGGAAGGATCAAAGTCCAAGAAAGGAGAGGAGTCGAAAATGTTCTCCTCAAAGAGATAGAGAGCGCTTCCCAAATAGGAAAGGGGATATAAGAGATCTTCTGCGACCTCCTCCTTAGGAGCTACAACCAAGGTACGCACCATGGCAGTTCACTCCCCTCAATGTCATAGTATCACAGGTGCTTTATGAAGTACAGAACGAGAAATTCCAGAGGTGGCTACCGCGGATAAAGGCTAACCACACCAAATGGGATGCAACGAAGTACTATAAATATCACCGGGACCACATACAACTCACTGATGATTGCATCCAGTTGAAGAAGGAGATCAAATTCCTAATTCAGAGAGGACAACTCGCTGCTTTGTGGTGCAAGATAATCAGAACCAAGCTCACCCACCTCCAGCACCCGAGCAATAAGTTTCTCTGCCTCACCAACAACCCTTGGGGGAAATAAGGGTAATATCTTGAGGATTCACTGGAGGT